ATATATATATATATATATATATATATATATATATATATATATGTATATATATATATATATATATATATATATATATATATATATATATATATATATATATATATATATATATATATATTCTAAAGATACAACATGTAAATTTATTTATGTTGAAAATACATACAATACATATTACAATACTTATTAAATAGTTCTTCCACAATCTAGTATTTCATTTGTCCATTCATTTTTCTGTATTTTTGAATACAAGTGATTTAAATATTTAAAGAGCCTAAAATGCAATAACTGTAATAAATGTATTTTATTTTATTTATTGTAAGGTAAAGACCTGAAAAAAATCTGTGAATGTTATACTTATTATTTAAAGAATATATATTTATTCTCAATTAAATTATAACATGAAGCTAGTAATTATTTCAAACAAATACTAATAAACAGCGAAGCTGTAAAATATTTCATTGCATTATGATTGTGGAAGAAGGGAACTCAATAATATTATATTATAAATACAATGAACATCAATTCAGTAAAATATTAAATCAGTAAAATATTTCATAGTAGAAAAGAGAATTCACTATTACATTATATTAATGAAATAAAAATAATTCAGAAGAATACCACAACTCACTATAAAATCTTTAACTTCCAAAAGCAAGTATAAAGCATAATTTTCTTACCTGTAAGAAATAGACATGACACTCATTTAGAGCTTGGAATCATACTGAGAATAACCAGTCCAGTGCCTATTTTTATATCCTGGAACTGGCAATTAACAGCGCTTCATCCAAGGTCATAAGAAGTCTGTCTAAAAATCACGGTGCTTCTTGCGTGCTATCCAAGGACAGATTTAACTTTATATCAAGTTTTAGTGGGTTGGGGAAGAGTGTGAGTGTGTGGACGGTATTTTTCCAAGTAACGACCTTTTGGATCATGTCCATAACCTTCCAGTGGTCATTCTCATTGTGAACTTAATTAATTTAATTATTCCCTAGGGTGATTATCAATTACTTTGTTCCCAACATTACAACGCAATTTAATAAGGTTTTGTTGATTAAATGGTGAGATAAAACATTATTCGGCTTCTCTCCGATTGGTGAACTATTGAACTGGCTTCTTAATTAGGCTTTTTCCATTACCAAGTGAAAGCTGAACAATAATAAATTCTTAATCTTAATTCATTTCGATGTCATTATATTCAGGATATGAATTATTGATTGGAGCACGCTTCTCCTACACTCCAAATCAATATCAAAGAAATATCTTAAATTTGGATGTTTTTATCTTCCAATAACTAGAGATTTCAATATGTTGTACACAAATTAATATTTTCGTTTCTTTCTTTTAGAATTGATATTTTGATAGACCTACAACCCTACGTAATGTTGTAGAATTCCCTAAATTGAATGTGAGTCATTTGTAATTCGAAAATTGTAAATCCTTTTTATTCTAGAGTATTGGGGTGCAACTGTTCCCGATACCCTGTATACTCGAATTAATAGTGCGACTACAAATGCAGCTGTAGTCATTCTTCTTCTTCCTCGCTCGTTGTTTTGCCTGGGTGCTGTGATTTTTGTTTTTGTGGTTGCTGTTTTTGGGGTAATTGTAGTTATTTTTTAAAATGTAAATGATTGTTTTTGTTATTTTTTGTTTTGTGATTGTTGTAGTTGTAATCACGCAAAATAGTCATTTATTCCATTGATAAATTAATATATCTTGTATTATCATCTCGGGCCTCATCAGCTCCGTAGTGTATGTGAAATAGTCATTTGTAACAGTGTTCAAGACTCAAGGAATGCTCTTGATACTCGGATTTTACATATTCTTTTTGTTGTTTTGGAAGTAATCGTTGCCGCGCCAAACAAAGATAAGTCTTTCTCGCTAGCAAGATTTGTTTGATGTCGTTAATATTTTCTTCAGTAAATTTATTAATTGGACCAGTTCTCACTTTCTTGTTGTGATTTGGTATACGATACCTTTATATGACCAGTTTCAGTAGGAGATTGGTCTCTAGTGTTTCTCGCACTGTTTGAACAGCAGCTATTTCACCTGACAGTTCTCTTAAAATCTTTTTTGTTTGTTTAGTTCTTTTCGCGATTTTTTAAGTTGCTTCAGCGGTTTGGTCTAAAGTTGGAAGAAGACCTTAAATAGAATTTGTAACCGGTTTAAATGACTTTTCTGTACCTTTTGTAAGTTCCTTTTGAGACTCCTGACGTGCTTGTAGTTGTCGTTTGACAGAATCACGGAGGGAAAGGTATTTCTTAATTGTCTCTAGTCGCTGTCGAGCGAGTTTAGATGTGGGAAATTACATGGTTAGAGCTATTATTGCATAATAATGTTTTAATTACGCAAATACCTAAAGTGATCAGAGATAACTAAAATCTTCTTTTTGTATTTAGCGGAGTTGATTTGTTAAGGTTACAATAGTTGTCGCTTCTTTGACACACATAACACCGCAACTCACCTGATATCAATATATATGAATTTAGTACCATGAATATTAAGTTGATTTAGGGCAATATTAAAAGAAGAAATTTCTTTCTTTTTAAGATCACTTTTTAAAAAAATGTAATTTATACAAACAGCTTTTGAAAAAGATATTTATGTAAAAATATATATATATATATATATATATATATATATATATATATATATATATATAATGTTAATTTTTACTTCATTTATACCAACACAAAATAATGCAAGGAAAAGAATAAGGTTGCAAAACTGAGACATATCTTTTTTGGGCCTTATAGTATCACATATAACAAATATTCTTCCTCCTCTTCTTCTTCTTCTTCTTCTTCTTCTTCTTCTTCTTCTTCTTCTTCTTCTTCTTCTTCTTCTTCTTCTCATTATTATTATTATTATTATTATTATTATTATTATTATTATTATTATTATTATTATTATTATTATTATTATTATTATAAAAGATAGAATAAAGGGAATAAAGATGGTAATTAAAACATCGATGGCAGTCATGAGAGTAAATCGTTTAAAATACATGGAATAGATTTAGAGTAGTATCCTATTAAAACAGTAACACTTATACCCATAAATTATCGACATTTTCACAGCATGTTTTCACTTGCGATTGGATATGGCAAGAAAATGTTACTCAATGGACCGCTGTCGGTTATCAGGGTAGAGATAACACCCATAACAACTAGTCGATCGATATAAAAGAAAACATCTGTTTAGCTGATCGATAATAGACTCGTCTTCAAAATTCCCCCGTTTATCACGCTCTTCCTGGTACGCCTTTACGGAAAAATACTTTTTAAATTCTGAAATAATCTGAAACTAGATTAACAAATTGGGCAATCGTCTCCTTAAATCACATTATCACGTAAATGAATATAATTTACTTGGAAAATTTGTTAGCAATACTGTTAAGTTGTTATTTCTTTTCTTTAGACCACTGCTGTACATTTTTTTCAAGACAAACTACTCCTAGTAGTTCTTTTACCAGCTTGGACATAATAAAGACAGAAAATGATGATTTAAGCAGATAATCCCAAGGGACGAATGCATCAGTACTTTTTATTCAGCGTATATTTTCACAAGTAGAAATATAACTAGGCGAGGAATTATTAAAACAGTTTCCCTTTTCCTTTTTTTCTGAAGGTGCTGAAGTTTTGTTTCGTTGTTATGATAGTGTAGACATATATCCATTAACCAATGTTATATACATTTCAATTTTGATACTTCAAAAGCACCATGATAGTAAATGTTCCAATGTCTATACGCATCTAGTTCGTTTTGGTGTAGTATTTAGAAAATTTTCCTCCTTCGCTTTATCTCATATTCAGATATATAAAATAGTATTATCCTTGCTACATTTTCCCTTTGTTGCAAAGCATTACTGAGACAGAGATAATTTTCCAACGACGGTTTCAAGGCTATTTTATTGTATTTGCCTCATTTTCTTTGTCACTGTGGTAGGTTACCTCATAAAGGATGACGAGTGTATCTGTATTGAAGGTACTAATGTACAGACGATTCATAATCACACTGATTGTGCTTAGATTTTGCACTTTGTCCAGTTCATTGGACACTATTGTGTATTTTTGCTCCAGTTATAGTATAATGTGATAGCATTTACATCGGACACCATTGTATGTATTTGATTTTCGTCGTTCATTTCAAATGATTCTGTTCACTGCTTGAAAGAGTAAGTCATATATACCCACTTTGCTATCTACCGCTTTTACGATATGTTTTTCCATTTCGCTCAGTTCATTACAAATTGTTATTTATAGAGATGTTGTTATTGCTGTTGCTGTAGGGTTGAACATCATTTTTCAGTACAATATTGGCTATAAATGGCGGCCAGTATAAATGATGGAGGAAAAATTCGGGGAAAAACCCAGAAAGAAACAGGAACCCACCAGAAGCTACTGCCAAGCTTTCTCACATATATACACTGGCTGAACCTGAGACCCAAACACACACAAACAGTGAGATGGCAATGATTCCTAACGGTGAGCGCTTTAGACCACTCAGCCACTCGGAATCCCTATTTGTAGAGTAACAACCGCGGCAGATCAATTAGTACAGTTTTGTTATCGATACACGTCCATGCTAACCAAGGTTGACTTACCTCGTATGTTTTGTGAAAAGTATGTATTTTCTTTGCATTAAATATCCAACATCATGGCCACAATTCTGCATCACGGGAAGTGATGCATTGCGGGATATTTGAGCTGCCATGTTTAACTGAACTGTCGATTTATGTTAATTTGTTTCATTTATGCGTTAATTGAAGAGTTGTCATATAAAATATAATGTGCTCCAATGTTAACATGTTCTTAAAGTTTTAGCGCTGTTAAACAGTCGTTCCATTCTCTGCTGATAATTTAATATATCCAACCGATAATTATTTGCTCCTATTACCGTACCGATCGTTGTTTATACGGAATGTATGACACATCGTCTTTTATTGGACCTAGACTGATTTTTATCTATCAATTAATTAACCAGATTGTTTTTATCTGTTTGACCGCTCCGGTGGCCTAGTGATTAGAGCGTGTGCTTCGGATGTGGAAGGTCGTGGTTTCGATCCCCATTTGAGTCATACCAAAGACTTACAAAAATGTAATTGTACTAACAGCAGCCTCGCTTGGCGCTCAGCATTAAGAAGTTAGTGTTAGGACTGGTCGGCCTTGTGTCAGGATAATGTGACTGGGTGAGACATCATGCTACATGTCTGCGGCATGATAGCAGGCATTACTATCAACTGTTACACTGTAGACATCATATGAATGAAAAATTGTAAAGGCTGCGTTAAAAATCGTAAAGAAACCAATGTAACAGATTGAGTATTTTTTTTAGTATTTACGGCAATTGATGAATGTGTGTCAAATTTTATAATCCACGATGTATAAGATCACCACAAGCACTCTGAAATTTTCATGTACAATTCCCAGATTGGAAGAAGTTACAATTAAGAATAATGCCTGAACCATTCTCTAATAAAACGCATTATATATATATATATATATATATATATATATATATATATATATATATATATATATATATATATATATATATATATATATATATATATATATATAAGTACCTGTAACTCATCTGTGTGATAAATCTTGAGCTTCAACAAAATCTATGCCATGAATTAGTAGACTTTAACAAAGCCTTTGACTGGATATAGCATGCGGCATTATACGCAACTATGAAGAAGTAAAACATCAGCTCAGAACAGTTCTTTAACAAAACTTTAAGTGATGTCCTCATTAAAAACAATAGAATATACTGGATTCAAATAACAGTTTGAGTCAGACGGAGTTTGATGTTTTCACTTACAGTTTTCAACATTTTCCTGGAAAAGATCGTGGAAAACAACGAGGGCACTGTCACCATCAGAGTAAGAACAATAATCAACATATTGATGGCTTGGCTGGAGATAAACAAGAACTGACAGACTTGGTGGAGCATCTCAACACATCCTCCACTACATACGGTATAGAGACTATCGCCGAAAAGATCAAACTGATGATAAAGAATACCAATGGTGTCAGGGTAGTCAAAGATCAGAGGACAGAAGCTGAAAACAGTCAAAAAGCTTCAAGTATCTGGAATTAATTATCACATATGAATACTCCAAACTAGAACTACTTTCCAGCATTTCTCAGACAATAGCATAACAAGGTTGAGAGCAGCATAGAAGGAGGCCACCCATGCTCTTGGTTCCAAACTATATTTGATACTCTCTGTTGTCATCTCCATTTCTTTTCATGCTTGTGAAACATGGATGCTCAAATAAGATCAATGAATAAATGTTCATATCTTAAAAATGAGATGCCAACCAAGAAAGAGGTCCACAATAGAAACTAGACCTGACCTCTGGGGAATAAATTGCAAATAGAACTAACAGAGTTATATTTCACTATCATCTGGGCTGGTAAAATAATCTTGCAAGGAATAGCGACAAGGTGCAGAAGAAGAAGCAGACAGAAAAAGAGTTTGAAAGAGAGCTTTAAGTAGTTGACATATATGGGGATTGTAGATTCACGAAGTGCAGTTGGCAACACGGAAAGATGTAGAGAGTTGCTTGGGAAGTCATCTGTGGTGCCCCAACGACCTTTTGGATTACGAAATTAAAGATGATGATGAGAAAGAGCAGGAGGAAAGGGAAGATGAAAACAGCTGTTGAAGGTTGTGTTCTCCAAAAAGAACGTAGGATATTGAAATTAATAACACATAAACACTTTCCGAAGTCCGATGTTTATAAATTTTATTTTTCAACTTGTTGATGAAAGTAAGGGAGTTGCGATCACTTATCATGCCACTAAACTAATGTGAACTTCAGCATAATGCAATGCTAAAATTGAAGCGAAACATTCATTCTCGATTGTTGAATAATTTCGTTGCTGCTTACTTAATTTCTTATAAAAGTAGCACACTAGATTTTTAACAGCATTTCTTTCTGCTTGAAACAATATTGCTCCAACCCCTGCATCACTTGCTGTTGTTGTTGTTGGGCTTGACGCCATTTTTCAGCACACGAAAGGCTATTTATGGCGGCCAGTGTTAATGGTGGTGAAGGAAGAAACCGGGAAATCACCGGAAAGAACCACCGACCCAAGAGAAGCTACTGGCAAGCTTTCTCACATATCCACATGCGCCGAATCCTAGACTCGAAAACACACAGACAGAAGTGAGATGGCAGTGATCCTGACATTGTTCAGAACAAAAACAACTTTCTTTTCATGCACAACAAGTTTGTTAAGGGTTCAACAATATTAGCAAATTGGAACAAAAGTTCAGATAATATCAAGCCATACCTTAAATTGCATCAGTTGGATTTTACTGACAGGCACGGAGAAATAAGAGATAGCCTTGACTTTAGCATCTATATGTTTATCTTGACCATGTCCCACAATATGTCCTAGAAGTGTTCTACTAGATAAATTTATTGTCAAATTTGCATCACTGAGTCCCTCAAAGAATTTCTGAATATTTCTAGATGTTCGTTTTAGATGTTTGTGTAGGTTATGTTATCATCCATGTAAGCACTACACAGATCTAAACTAGAGATAATTATATTCATAAAATTTTGAAAAGTACTCGGAGAACCCTTCATTCCAAACGGCATTACTTTAGATCAGAATACTATTATTGAAATTTAACTCAACCATTTTCTTCTTAACGTTTCAAGCGCCGTAAAATCTAATTTGAAGAAAGCTTTGAAGAATCAACAAGACAGAAATAACTATCACAGTAATCAAAAAATCTCTCCATTAAAGTTATCTGAAACCATAATTTTACTTTTGACTTGAATTGCTAAATACCAAATTCAAGCAAAACTAGCTGGAAAATTCCAGTCTTAAAATCCGACCTTTGATCTGATTAGATAGATTCGGAAAGTCCAGATACCCCAGGAGGTAAGCATTTTCTCATAAATAACAAACAGGTACATCATTGGCTTCAATTTCACTTACGACCCACTGAGACTAACATAAGATCTCAAGATCTTTTCTTGTTAAACGACAAGTGATTACTATTTATAACCCTGATTAGAGAAAGGAGAACGAGTAGTTAAAATAGGATCACAGCGATCATAACATTTTAATCAGTCCAAACAAGAAATGAAAGTGACCTCATCAAAAGTCTACCTAATACGTGTGTCAGCTAAAGGAATACTTTCGTTATTAAAATCATTCTCAAGAGATTTCGTTGCCATAGCTCTTGTAACTGCACAAGCTGGATACAAAATCAGTGAATTGATTTTAAATAGGATCGACTTTCAGATACTAAGAAGGCTTATCAGTTACAAGGGGATTAAATACAACCTTGTCTCAAGCTAGGTCGCTACCTAGTAACAAATTAATGCCCTCTACGGGTAAAGAAGACACTATTTCTAAAGTTCTGAAACTAAGTCTGATGACATATTTATACAATGGAGAGGACTATTGACAAAGACGCACTCTACTCCCTGGATGGGAGCACTTTAATTAGAAAAAGTCTTCTCAGAGAAAGGCAAAGTGCATGATAATAACGGACACTGTATCCCTTAAAATTTTAATTTGGATAAGATTGGCAAGATCGCCCAAGAGTGATATAAAACCCTTCGACGTGATTAGTTCATACATTAAGACCAGGGTTTATGGGACTCAGCAAATGTAATGCTTTCAATACATGACATCTTAAATATAAAAGCATTTTGGATCAGTCTATCTTGATTCTGATGCTTATATCTCAATTTGAAGCAATCAGAAATAACATGTCCTTTCTTCGTACAATTGGTACAAGTAGGAAAAGACATTGATTTTGTATGTAACTTATTAGAAGCTTGATTTTTATAAGTTGTGCCAGACTGAATTTTAGAAGGAGTCGTTTTAGGCTGAAATGCATTTTCAGCAGTAGACTGCTGATTGGAAGACATGCCTACAACAGGGACGTAATGAGTTAAGGAATAGTCGTCAGCAAGAATAGCAGTATTTTTCAAGGTTGCGATCTTATGTTTTTCAAGGTGAGTCCTAATGTCACTAAAAGTACAGTTCTTAAACTATTCAAGTAATACAATTGCTTGAGATTTTCATAATCTTGTTCACCTTCTTTCGCTCTTCACCATATATCAAATATCTGCTCTTTTTTATCAAATTCAGAATAGGTACGTACAGCTTCTTATTTTATAGTTACTGAATTTTGGCTGTTAATCCTCAAAGACTACTCATAACCCTTTAAAATACTTTCCTTAACCAAGTCATAGACTGTACTGACAGGGATGTATAGACCTTTAAAGCTCTACCAGTAAGTAGACGTTGTAATAATAGAGTCTAGTACTCTCGTCGCCACTTCAAATTTTCAGCACCGTTTTCAAAAAAAGAAAACAACTGTCTACTTCTTCTCCCAGAATAGGGGATAAAAACATGATATTTCTACAAACATCAAAAGTAGTGGAATGTTTTCCTTTTGCCAGCTCTAATTCTTTATAGTCGAATTTAAAGTTCCGTTTCTTCCATCTCTCTTTGCATTAGCATTTGCATTAGACTATCTGCTTTTCTTTCTCAAATTGTAATTCTCCTTCATCTCTTTCATTTTGAAACTGCATTTGTCTTACGTTTCTTTCTCTTTCCATTTGTATCTTTCTATCTGAAACTGAACCTGTCTTATTTATAATTCCGATTTTTTAAAGCTGCTCTTCCATTTTCAACATGTCCTGACACAGCTGAGTAAAATTCAATATAAACTTTTCTCCTTTTGATGATATTTTGAAAAGCCCGTTGTTTTCATTAAAGATTTCCAAAAAATGGAAAATAGTACTTTGGATTTAATAACTAGAGGAATTTAAATTTCAAACAACAATTGTTGAAATATTTTAGCCACAATTCATACATCTCATGGACGAGACCCGAATTTCCTTTGCTACGAGAAAGGACTCGTACAAAGTAATAAAGAAAAAAGTGAAACCAACAAGCTTTGTATATTAAACAGAATAATTTATTTCCCTAGAAAAGGCGGTGAAATATGAAAAAGACAGTTTGTAAATATAGTCCAAAAATTAATTCTGGAATTCAAAATATAAGTCCAATCAATAAAAAGTCTAAATGA